AGGGTTAATGTTTATTTTATAAATTGTAACTTGTAAGTTTTTGTGGTTAATTTGTATCACAATTTGCATACTTCTAATTAAATTAAATATCAAATATTGAAAAATTTATGTAATGTGATATATTTTAAATTATTTATGGTATTTCATAAAACTCGGGTATATTTTAAAAGTTGGAGTATATATATTTTGCACTGATGCAAAAATGGTAAATGAGTAAAATGATTTTTATTAGAGAGGGGGCATCTTTTAAATGTCATTATCGACTCCCTCCCATCCAGTATCCCAAACCTTCAATTTTAAATATAACGTGTCTGGCACTGAAGAAAATTATTCAAAAATCCTAAACAGGGACATATAAAACCTGCTCTCTCTCTACCTTTCCTCGTTATGAAGTATTGAGCGCTTTTGCGTTTCTAAACCAAAAGTGAAAGATGACTGATTGCCTTGTTTTATTCATTCGAAATTTCCTTTCCATTCCTGTCTATTTCTCAATATCTATTTGACCTCTCTCCATCTCAGGCCAATTGATTCACGATTTCTTGTTTCAGTTCTTCTCCAGCTATTATCCGGTCTTCCTCTTCTTTTTCTTTGTGGTTGTGTTTCGAGTGCCATTTTGGTCTTTCCTTAGTGTATGTCCAATTCATTTCCATTTCCTTTTTTAATCTTAATTGATATTTTCTCTTGTTTTATTCTTCTTCATAATACTGAGTTTGTTATTTTATCAGATATACATTTTTGGAATTTTTCTCAACGATTTATTTATAAAGATTTATAGGTTTTTGGTAGCTGTTTCTTCCTGTCTCTAAGATTCTAAGACATGCAGTAATATAGTCTTAATACAGCTGTTATTTTTGATTTTGGTTAGGTATTTTGATTTTGGTTAATTCTGATATATCGCATGTGTTCCAGATTTTCTTTAAGGAGTTATGTGCATGTTGTGCTTTTACTTTTCTTTTTGCTACATCTGATCTACTACCGCCACTTTTTCTATAATTGATACCAAATATGTAAAGTTATCTTCTTCCTGTATTTGTCTTTCATTTATTTTAATAGAATTTCGTTTTTCTGTATTATTTCCGTTTTCTTCTTTATCTTAAAGCACATTACACTGGCGTATTTTGTAAGCTTATTGATCTTCTTCTGCATTTGGTTGTCATCTTCAGTTAGGAGACAAATGTCATATATAAAATCCAAGTCCTAAAACTAGTTATGCAAGTTTCACCTATTGCCTGTTTTTTATCGCTTACTTTCTCCATGATCCAATCCGTTATGATTAGGAATAGTTTCGAGGGCAGTACACATCCTAGTTAAACTCCGCTTTATAAAGCTATATCTTCTACCATTTCTCCCGCATGTTCCAGTCTGGTTCTGTATCCCATGTAGAATAATCCGATCCGGTAGATGTATTTCATCGGTAGTCCAAATAGTTTCAGAATCTTCCACATTTCCTTTCTTTTTATACTACCGAAGACCTTTTCGAAACCGATTAACATAACTAAGATAATTCTTAGAGTACAAATCAGCGGCGACATACGGGGAAAGGGAGTTCCCCACGAAAAGGTCCAAAATTAAAGAAAAGCATTTATTTATGTCTTTTGGGTTTATCTTTTTATGTCTTTTGGTTGGTGTTTTATTTGAAGATCCGCTTCAGTCTGTACAATATGATCTTGAATATTATTTTGGATTGGCACTTAGCAGTGTTATTGCTCGCCAATTCTCGCATCTAGTTAGATCAAGCTGCTCAGTTGATTCCATTACTGCTGTTCAGATTATTTTCATTTTTTCTGTGAATTCGATTCTTGTTTTTTCTTGCTAAAGAGCTTCGACATGTTCTAACCCAAATTTATTAAAGAATCCTTAGCCTAATGCTTGATAGAATTAATTAATTAATTAGAGAGGTAATTCGCTGGAGAATTCAGATATTCATGATTTTTTTCCATATTAACTCTACTATTGTGAAAAAGTATCAGTTTATTGAAAGTATTACACCTCTTAAAAATTAAATGTAAGTTTACATAATGTTGTGTACAATAAAAGGTAACGAAAATATAACTGAGGAAAAACTAAAAAGGGTAATTATAATATACTCTCATATAATAATAACATGATTGTAATAAGTGTATGGTGTATAGAAAAAAGGTACTAAAATATTGAAAAATACTTATTTCTCAATAGATTTTAAAGAAATGTAGAAGAGTTCATAACAATAATATATAACATAATAAATTAGTAAATTTTGAAAGTAAAACAGAATCAAATTAACTTTGGAGTGGAGTGGAGTATATGTACAGTTGCGGTCACGGAATAGTTTACACCTTACTTTTTATATTGTAATACTGTAAAATTGCAGTGTCGTACGGATTTGATAAATGTCAAAGTCAAAAAATTTCAAAACCTCAATGCTTTCGCGAGTGTTCAACAATAAAATAAAAGTATATTAAACTCTTCCAAAATGGTTAGAATACATTTGAATTATGCGCAAAAAGCAAGAGCAATTGCCAAACTCGAAGAAGGTTGGTCACTAAGGCAAGTTGCTGCTGATTTGAACGTGAGTCATATGTGCATATGGAAGATTAAACAAAGATGGGATAATTTTCACTCTATAGCACGGTTGGGCGGTTCAGGAGGGCAGAAGATTTCCACAGATCAACAGGATGAGATGTTAGTAGATTATTTGAGAGAATCTCCTTTTGCCACAGCTCAAAAGGCAAGAGAAGAGGCAGCGTTTCCAGGCAGTATTCGCACTGCACGTCGAAGAATTAAAGCAAGTGGACTGCTAAATTGTGTAGCTGCACGGAAACCTTTTTTGACTGAGGATCACAAGAGGAGACGAGTTGAATTTTGTAATGAATTTATAAACCGCGATGAGAATTTTTGGTCTAGGGTTGTATTTTCCGATGAAAAAGTATTTCAGTCGTATAATAATGGTCGAATAAGAGTTTATAGGCCGAGAAATCATAGGTATGATGAACAGTATACGCATCATTTAAGAAATAGTGGAGGATTCTCTGTCAACGTATGGGGATGGATAAGTGCCGAAGGCCCGGGCGTTTGTTATCATGTAGAGGAGAAGTTAACAGGATTATATTACAAACATATTATTGAGCACACAATGTTGCCATCGGTGATCCAGAGATTCCCCAACAACGACTTTATCTTCCAACATGACAATTGCCCGGTGCATACGAGTAGAATTGTTCGAGAATGGCTAGAAGAAACTGATGTTAATGTTCTTCCGTGGCCTTCCCGTAGTGCAGACTTTAACCCCGTCGAAAATGTGTGGGCAGAGTTAACAAAGAAACTAAATGAAAGAAACCTTAGACCACGGAATAGAATTGAATTATGGGAAGCAATTGAGCAGGCATGGGAAGAGCTTGTTAACTATAACATGAGGGGATTGGTGCTATCTATGAACAGAAGACTGCAAAATTGTATTGACAAGAATGGGGCTTCCACCAAATATTAATTATTATTTATCATTGTTTATCGTTATTTAATATAAAATAGATTTAAAATAAAATGCATATTAAAAAAAAAGACTTCTTTATTTTCGTTATTAAGATCATAATCCATTTTATTCAAAAAACTGTTTTCTATATTTTTCATTTTGTAAAATATTTTGATATTTTAATTTTAATCTACCTATTCTAGCTAGTACACCACTGGCAACGTCACTTTGACGTAAAAGGTGCGTTTAAACGAAGTAAAAATTTAAAAAATGGGCTCCTAGATACGTGAACCTGTAAACTATTCCGTGACCGCAACTGTACATTTAATCTTTAATAAAATGTGAACTAATTTTCATAAATAATAAAACAAAAAAATAATAAGTAAAACTAAAATAAGTAAGTAGTACACATTGTCCATGTTGTTTCAATAACAGTGTATGATTGATTAGTGTAATTTTATAAATATAATACACAATTTTGACCGGAGTAAGTATAAAAAATACTTTTACATTGTAAAAAAAGGCAGACGAAAGGTATGCTGTTATTAGAATTATTATTTAGATTTTTAAATATTAAAAAGATACATCAAAAGTAGATTGGTATTAAATAATACAAAATATTATTTAATATATAATTAGGTCAATATTGTGTATTATAAAATCATCAGATAATTGTATAATTGGTTTTAAAATGTCATGATACTTGAAGCCACGCTTCTGCTGTATATGCAATTATGATTACCAGTTTACACTTTTACATTAAATTGGAAAATTAGAATAAACATAGAGTCCATCAATTATTACATAATGTATCATTATTCTCCCTTAACTACTTAAGTAAGATTGAAAATACCTTGCAACTGCTCTCAAAGTACAACAATGCATTTTCATCCGACATTATTACAATAACTTTCAGTGGAAAAGTATACCTGGTCAAGCACATGAAAAAATGTACATTGGACGGACATGAGATAAAAGGGTTGAAGTACTGAGAAAAACAGTCAAGAGACACATGTATACAATGGGCTGTGTAATGGGTACTTAAATTGCAGACTCCATAGCAGAGAACCTGAAATGATCAACCATACCTTGCATGACTACAAGACATTAGGTCGTAGGTGGCAAACACTTTTTGGAAACTACCAAGTGACTTCAAAAACATAAGCACAAGGCTCCATAATAGTGGACTGGATGTTAAAATAAATGAAAGATCTACAATAAGCCAATTGACTTCAGTACTAGTTAAAGTATCATCTGAGCTAGTGTAGTACTGAAGCTTTTGTCTAGTCTAATTGATCTGCGCAGAAGGGAGCTGAAATAGTGATGACACTGTTTACCAAGGACACATGTACAATATAGGTAGAATTAATAAAGAATGATTCACAAAATGCAAAATGGAGACGGAAACTGTGATACTTGAGTCTTTGTGAATGTAAAATACTTAGTGACATGAGTCACATATAGACTGTAAAAGCAAGTATTCAGCCAAGAAAAATCCATAAACTCTCCATTACAAAGTTGTTAGACTTTATCAAAATCACAAAACCTGTTGGTAAACTCTACTGAAAAGACAGGATTTGCAAGAAAATTCTCACAGTCAAGTTCTAGAAACATGTAGGGTCTCAAGTGATGTACACAGAAGAATTACAAACTTTAAGATTCTACTAAAATATTTGACCCTTGCCCAAATGTCCAAAATATTAAAAGTTCAAATCAAAGATCTTTGCAACATCTTTTTGAAAATTATTTCAGTTTTATAAAATTAAAATTATTTGGGCAAAATATGGTTTAATTGGTCTTTTGTTCTTTTATTTATATTAAGAATTATATACCAAAATCAATTGATTAAAATGGAAGTATGACAGTAATACTTCATTGCTAAAAAAATAGACTTAATTATTTTGGCTTCTATCTTCTTCCCCCTCCTCCTCCTCTTCATCATTGCTGCTTGATATTTCACTTACATGTGTATCCCCTTCTACATCAGCTACCAGGTAGTACTGAAGTGGATTTAACCAGAGATCATCTTTGATGACTTCTGCAATATCATCAGTATATGGGTCAACATTATCAACAAACCACCCAAAGAAAGTTTTGGATCTTTCAATACGGCGTTTCCTTCCTGATTTAGGTGGTTCAATATTTTGTCCAATATTGCAACCTTCCTTCCATATAATTCTGGTACTCTGGGAGGTTGGAGTAGCTAAAAATACATACCTCTAATACTTTAGAAGTCATTAAAAAATAATGTAACCTACCACAATCTAAGTGATATGTCTTTGTAATGACAGTGTTGTCAATGTAAGGGTTTTCCTCAAAATAAAACTTGATACAATAACCAGACTTAATATCTTCGAATTCCTGAACTTCTATCTTTATCAAAAAATGGAGACAATCTTCTTCTTCATTATCTAATAACTCACTTAAATCAGGGTGATTTTGTATCTAGAGATATAGGGTTAAGGGAATTAAATTATATGAATGATCATTTTTTAATCCATTTTAACAAAGAAATAAAAATTACTATTCTTCCCCATAATTCTCCAGTATGGACAAACAAATCTTGATTGAGAAAATAATAATACAGAAAATATCTTCATGAAACAAATATAGCACAACTACTTACTTCCACAGTTAGTGGAATCATTTCAGAAACACCTGAAAAGAATTTGAGGCCTCATTGTCAATGGGAAAAACCTTCCCCAAGGGTTAGAAGATCACTTTATCCTAAGAAGGCAAGATATGGAAGTAGCTTATGCAGTTGAAAGAGGTGCAAAAAAGATCTAAGACCATATAAAAATATAATGATATACATAAATGATAAAAATAAAAAAATAATAAATTGTAAAAGCAGGTATAATTCTTACATTGAGACTTAATTTTCTCTGAAACTTTTTGACTTGAAGATAATGATTCATTAACAAATAGAACATTATATATCATAACTGAAAAACTAGGGCAAAAACCTGAACAAAATATTCAAATAGCTATTAAAAATCTGAAAATATATATATATATATATATATATATATATATATATATATATATATATATATATATATATTGGTAGCATTTAGTAAACTAAAAATTATACTAAGAAGTCCAATTCCTACTCTTCTTCAGCAAGCACAGTTTTTAGTTGATACATAAGTTTAACAAAACTGTGAAGATGTCATCCAAAGATACAAATCTGATAACAACAAATATAGTGAAAGACAGGTTACAAGCAGTTGAAAATATATAAAATTGGAACTAAGAGGGATCAAGGAGAGGATCAAGGGAATCCACATTTATTTGAATCAAGGTTTAAAAACTTCCATAAATAAAAGTAAAAGTATTGGTACACCTGAGAAAAAGAAAGTACTGCATACATTAGGCTTTTTACATAACCAGAAACTACTGATAATATGCTATAATGGCCTGATATCCATCCTACAGAAATACAACAATATGAAAAGTTATAAATATTATACATTTGTAGACTAAAAATTAGGACAGATGAATAAAGGAACAACAGTCACTTTCTCCAAAAAATGCATTACTACCAAAGACATATTTATATACAGTAGGTGATAAGTTATGAGGACAAAATGTGAGTTGAATGAAAAGAGGTCAAATATGTTATACACATATAATCACACCCTTTCCTAAAAGACATTGGTGGTAAAAACTTTAAGTAATAAAAAAATATTGCGGAGCTACTGTCAAAATACTCTTAATACAAAATAAAAGATCACAATATAAGTATAAAATATTATAGGTTATTACAATATTTTTAGGTTAGAAATAACAAGGAATTAGTAAAAAGGATACAGCAGTAATCCAGAAGTTAGGAATGTTACTAATTAAATTATTCCTTTTCTCAAAAAAGGGCTTTCGTAACTGATTATACTTCTGTTCTATTTTCAATATTTCTTCACTAGATTTTTCGTTTATGCTATCTATTTCGTTTTGACAGATATCAATTTCCTCCAGAGCTTTTTGAGTAGCTGCATCAAATTCGGACGTCCTATCAGATTCGGAAAATCTTTTTAATTTCCTTGGAGTAGAATCTCCCGACATATTATATTTCTTTTCAGACAGTCCAAGTTTTAAACAACAAATACGTTTTCAAATAATGAAGCTTGTTATGACAGATAGGATCTTAATCATGGAATTTGTTTAACGATGACATTACGTCGTATGACAATGACGTTTCTAGTAATGACAGTTGGGATGGGAATGAAGAAAATAGAACAAGAAACATGATAACATGAAACAAGAACAGTACATTTTCCACTTAAGGTGGAGGCGTATCGTGTATTTAGTTTAGGTTTAAATGTGGTTTAAATTTCTTAATTTTGAGTTTGATGTATGTCTATTTTTTATTCCAACTATAAAGGCAAAATGCATTTGAACGCTGATATTTCTAGTGCTTTACAACTTTTAGAGGATATTAAACAAACTCTGGATGACTTAGGAGATCCAAAGCTTCAAATAAACACGACTCAGGATCTTAGTTTACTTATAAGTGTCCTAGAAAATCCGATATTTAGAAGTATTGTTACAGTTCAAGACTCTATAAGTGAATTAAATCAACAACTTGGACAACATCCTTCTATTTTACCAGTAGATTTTGATATTACAGCAGCAGGAGAATTAGTTTTGAATGTACCACCAGCAGGGGAATTATACGACCCAGATTACGCCGAGGATTATCCTAACAACAGAGATTTTGATGAACAAAGAGTGCCTTCCGCACCTATTTCACCTAGTTCACCCCAAGTGCCACTTTTACATAATTCAGACAACCAGCTACTAGCAGTACATAGTCCAAAACTAAATAGCAGACTGTGTAATTCAGAGGTAAAAACATATTCACTACCAACAATAATATATAATTTTGACCCAATTATGATGACTACCTAGTATGGTTAAAACTAATATACCTATATATACTCATTAAGGAAATATTTTTATTGTGTTATAAGAATATTGCATTGAGTACCCATTGTGAATATTATAATTAGATATATAAACATTAGTTTAAGTCATAAACATTAAAAAATAATTTATTGGTCAAATTTGAAAATTACTCAACACAATCTTCAAAAAGTAGATAGATGCTGTTTCAATAGGTAGGTATATTAATTTTCTTTCTATTGCAAACCATATGCTATTCTAACAATATTTTATACCTCTCAGAAAATATATTTCACCAATAAAAAACCTATTATTGTAGGATACATTTTAATTACCAAAATAATCAATAGAACAAATTGCTTATTAATTAGATTTAATTAAATGCTCAAAGTGTTTTTCTTTTTTATTTGGTACTATACAGATTTAACTAAAAAGCCAATATGACATTATACAATTGGTCATCTTATTATTTGACCTGTTATCAGTATTATAATATGTCTATTATCATTTAAAATTTGAAAATATCTGATATGTTTTTGTACACACTTAGGATAAATGAAGGAATGGAAAAGAAAAGTATTTTAAAAGTGTGTAAAATATTTAATTTCTAGTTAAGTGCTTTTGGCTTGGAAAACCATCCTCAGAGCTATAGCCACAGCTCAAAGCTTTGTAAGCTAAAAAAGCTCAGCTATAAGAATTAAACATTTTACACCCTTTTAAAATAATTTTTTTCATTAATTTATTTTTCTTAAGTGTGTATAAATAAGTATATATGTCTTTTTCAATTGTTAATCTACAGTATGGTAGTGGATATAAAAAAATGATCATATCTTTGAGGGTGGCATTTTAAGCCTAAAGTGATCAGCTAGGAATTAAATATTTTAGACATTTTCAAAATACTTTTCTTTCCATTCTTTCATTTATTATTATTTAGATATTATCAGGTATTGTTTTGTATAGAGTATTTTTGATACTCAGTAAGGAGTCAAAAATTGAAATCAGTTGGGATAGGGACCCATCTGGACTTCTGATTTATCTGGATTTTCGAACCATATTTAAACTACTACATACTATTGATATTTTATTAACAAAAATAATGCTTAAAGTATTGTGTAAGTTTGAATTAATCCAGGAATTATTACAAAATAGATGTTAGGGCTTACAAAATACAAAAGAACTCAGTGAAAGGGCATAATGTACTATTACATAGCACACAATCTCAAAAAGAATATGGGTAAGGACTTATTAAGTGAAAAAGTCCATTATTGTTTTACTACTACTATTGGTTTACAGCATTCTGTGATGCCTTCCAACTCCTAACCACCATTCTTATCTATTCAACCAAAGGCCTGGAGAGATTTCTCTTTCCTCCAGTTCTTTTTCAATTCCCTCTCTCCAGCTTACTCTCGGTCTTCCTCTTTTCCTTTTCCCTTGTGGTGTCCACGTCAAAATCTGTTTTGGAAGCCTGTCATCTGGCATTCTCTGTACATGGCCGTACCATATTAACTGTTTTGTTTTTATGTCATCAACTATTGTATGCTTGACTCCCATCATTTCTCGTATTCTCTCATTTGGTATCCGATCTCTTCTTGATTTGCCTTCTGCTCTTCTCCATAAGTCCATTTCTGTTGCTAGTAACAGGTTCTCTGTTCTTTGTTTCATTGGCCAAACTTCACTGCCATAGGTGATTACACTTTTAAGTATGGTTGACCTTTACCTTTACCATTATTGTTTTTTGAAGTTTAAATATGTTCCTTTGCAGTCATGAAGTAATTTAAGAAATATAAGTTAAGATGGTGTACTCTCAAGTTAGCATTCTAACCAGTTCACTGCAGTTTCCAAAGCATTGTAGGTGTCCACACACATGTGAAGTACAAGCAGCTCCTTGGTCATTTATTTTTTCTTCATCACTCTGTGTCATTGCCTTTGGTTACAATGGCCTTATCCTCAAGTACTTGATTCATGATTTCATCAATATTTAAATTTTGAATTTTTGATCAATTTAACAAACTGAACGTGAAATCTCACAGAAGGCGATTTTGTAAGAAGAATTTGACACTCAATACAAACAAATGCTTTACTGAAATTGGTATATATAGCATACACCTGCTTTTGACTTTCAATTAGCTTCATCAGCTCAGACTGATACCAAACTAAATTAGACATTGTAGATATTTTTGCACTAAAACTATGCTAAGACTCTGATATAAGCCCACTACACAACCAAGTAGATAAAACTATCGAAAAACATAGGTATTGCAGATTGAATGTATATACTTTGATAATGTTCAATATTTTCCTTCTGGCCACATTTGAATATCTGCACAATAAAAGTATCCTTCCAAACATCAGGAAATAAAGATGATTGTAATGAGCTATTGAATAAAGTATGCAATGACATGCTAGTGCAAACACACTTTTTTAAGAGAAAATTGGGAATACCATTAAGTTCAGAGGTAATCTTATTTGGAAAAGAACTTATGTAATTAAAAAAGTCAATGAAAGTGATTTCAGAGACATTATAACTTGTGCCAACATTGCTATTGATGGGAATACTGGTAAATCAGAAGTTATTAACCCCATGGTATTGAGTTAGAGCAATATGAATAATAAGAAGAACCTTGTCTTGCTTTTTGTGTTGTCTGTTTTTTTACACTTTTATATTTTTTTAACATTGGGGTTTTTACTTTTTCCAATTAATAAAAGATCCAATAGGCTCACAAATTAATCAGAAGAATGCAGTAAGTGCAGAAATTAACAGACGGATATATTTGGCAAATAGAGCCTATTACTTATGGATTAAAAATTTTTTATCAACAATCCTAGTTACAAAAAAAAATGGAACTAGTGATATACAGAACTCTTATCAAGCTCATCCTCGCCTATGCATTGGAAACATGGACGATGACAAAGAGCAGTGAAGAATGTTAAAGATACTTTGAACATAAAATCCTCCGGCATATCTATGGAGGAGTACAGGAGGGCAGATTATGGCGTAGACGGTATAATTTCGAACTTTACAGCCTATATGACAAATCTGATATTATTAGGTCCATCAAAATAAACCGGCTGCGGTGGTTAGGTCACACAGCACGATTTAAGAATCAGGTGGAGAAAGACTTGAGAATGTTGGGAGTACGAAACTGGAAAACTAAGGCGAAGAATAGGAGAGAATGGAGACTTATCCTTGAGCAGGCCAAGACCCACCGTGGGTTGTGGAGCCAATGATGATGATGAAAATATCCAATGCATGGACCACTTGCAGTTGCACATAAGATCACTGTAACTCTTTCTTTAGCAACCTTGAAGCCAGATGTAGCCTTTTCTCTATGATGCTAATGACTTCTGGGGGAGGGAATTCCAGTTTCATCAGCATTATAAATGTCGTCTCTGTTGTACTTGGCCCTATTCAATCGCCATGTTAATAATTGTTTTATTAAAGGTCAGTGCAGCATCATTATTGGCATATAATGTTTTCCTCTGGAACATCCAATTCTTTAATTCCATGTCTCGTTTTAAAATTTTTGAGCTAATCTGAGCTTATTTCAAAGTCTCCAGGATCATCAAGTTATTCATTCATTTCGGTCACATTTGCAAAAAAATTAACGGACCACAAATAGGTTCCCCTAAACTTCGTCTCTGTGAAAACCAAAAGTACATGGCATCCTTCAATGCACTATTTTCTTTGGTTTTGTTGATTTTCTTTTCTGTGACTCTTTCTCTGAGCCGAGTAAACTGTCTTTTTTTGCCTTCGACACTAATTACTGAAGTCGCCACGCCATGTTTTTTAGCAAGAGATGCGCAAATTTCACTTTATTATTTAATTTCATACTTCTCCGCTATGGATAATAATTTATGTTTTTTTTTTGTACAATCGTAGTATAATCTCTATCACAATGTAACTGAACAGCAATTGTTCATACATAATATATTTATATGTATTAGGTACAACTGCGAAAACACGCACGGAACGGAACTAACACGTGTGCCGGCGACAGTCGAGAAGAGGCGATGCGTAGGTTGGTGAACTCTCATGGCCTTGACCTTGAACCACTCTCACTTCCGCGCGTACACGATATCCGAGCGCCACGCTCTTAAAATATATCAAAAAATTAAGACACGCTCCGGATTTTTGACGTCCGGATTACTGACGCTCCTCTACTGTGTTTCTACAAAAAAACAGACAGGTGGTAGTAGATTCGTAAATCTTGCTGTTCAAATAATTGTTGTAGCCCTTTTTTTACCAAGCTGAAATCTAAACTTTAACAATTGTGAACATAAACACTAAAATCTTACATCAAATCTACATTCTACTGTTGATACTACTATTGATAACACAATCCACTGTAAAAATATAAAATCCAAAATTTATATATATATATATATATATATATATATATATATATATATATATATATATATATATATATATATATATATATATATATATACAGGGTGGCCGGAAAGTCCCTTTACAGTAATGAATTGCTTTTGTCATACTACAGAGGGAAAAAATAATAGCACAATTTTGTTTGTGTTATTTATTTATCTAACACTTAATAAGACGCCAGCATGTCCAGAGTCACTGACATGAAAGTTTCGCAAGTTCTCATTTGAGACATCTGAGTTTTCTAACCTCCTCTTTATTGAAACCCCACAGTACTTCGTCCAATCCATCATCCCGACAAGATTTTATTCAGGCAGTTGCAGACAGCAAGAGCAAAATGGGGTGGAGCGCCATCTTCTTGAAAATAAACAGTGTCACCTCTCAATTGCGGTAGTAAGTATCCGTTGGTCATCTGCAGATAATTGTGTTGAGTTGCGGAGCTTTAAAAAAACAATATGGTCCAAGCAGATAAGTTGAAGTTATTCCAGCCCATATCATGACATGATGCGGTTTTTTTCCCACTTCCTCAAAGAAATAAGAGTTCTCCTTTGTCAAGAAATAAACATTGCGATTCCGAGAGTTTCTGTAAACTGTACCCTCATCAGTGAATAAAACATTTTGTTTGTCACATGCTCTCAAAAAGCGTTGAAGCAGTAATTGGCATGCTTGTACTCAGTGGTCCATGTCATTATCACTCAACTCATTTATATATACTGGCCGGATGACTTTCACTTTTAAATTCTTTCGCATGTGATCTTGCATTGTTGACTGTGGAATACCAAACTCTGCAGAGCATTTCCACGTCAACTTCATCGGTCCACGTTCAATGGATTCCTCAGTGCCAGTAGAAGTTTCAGCTTGGGTGCTTGGTCTTCCACTTTTTGATGCGTTGAGAACGGTTCCCAATGAAATAGCCTTCTCCGTAAGCAAAGTTGGTCTTGATGTTGATGGTTTTTCAAAACGAACAATTGAACAGCGACCAAACGCTTTTCAATTGTAAACTCACTTATGTCCGCTATCACGTCTCACTCGCTACTAAGGGTACGTTCATGATGGAGACCATCTCATCATATCCTCTCTTAGAACATAGCAGTGACAGTGACATTGAACGCTCGCATTTAAAATAATGCATTTATTTTACCTGGCGATCGATAATATGATACATCATCTGAATATCATCTGTAACCAAAACATCATCTAAAGAAAATCACTGAGGAATAACTGTGGAATAACTCTACCAGAGAAATGTATCAAATAAGGCTGTCACAGGAAAACAGTATTCAACATAACAACGTGCCTGAATTAAGACACGAAATAGAAATTAATCGACAGGACGTTGAGATAGCCATAAATTCGCTAAAAAACAGGAAATCACTGGGACAAGGCGGAATAACTGAGCTCCTCAAATATGGCAGATAAAGTATAACCCTAGAGATGACAAAACAACCAAAAAATAGTATTAAAATGCAAGATATTAAACACGTAGAGAAATGGGATACATGTTCAAAAAAAGTCAAGAAGAGACCAACTTCAAAATCTCTAGGAGAAGGGACTAATATCTACTGAATTTGTGTAAAAACATCTGCAAGAAATGAAGACTGCTTCATCTATCAACATAAAAACATCTACATACATTATATATACCTTAGACTTAGACTTAGATAGAATAATGGATATAAGTATATCAATAAATAAATTTTTTTTTCAAAATTTATAATTGAAAACTGATATTATGATCACTTTTTGAACATGATTTTATCATTACATAT